AGAGAGTGAGTCTTTCGGATATTGTCATATTTAGGTTTCTATCACTGCAGCAACTAGGGACACAGAAAGCTAAGAATAAATAAACTGGGTGGTGAGTATATCATTTTGAATTTGTAATTCAATGTTAAATGAGTTAGCACAGAAATAGGTCCTTCTGTACATAAGACTCGGAGAAGGTGATGGCACCCCACTCCAGTGCTCTTGCCTGGAAAATCCCATGGATGGAGGAGCCTGGTGGGCTGCAGTCCATGGGGTCACAAAAAGTCGGACACGACTGAGCGACTTCACTTTCACTTTTCACTTTCATGCACTGGAGAAGAAAATGGCAACCCACTCCGGTGTTCTTGCCTGAAGAATCCCAGGGACGAGGGAGCCTGGTGGGCTGCTGTCTATGGAGTCACACAGAGTTGGACACGACTGAAGCAACTTAACAGCAGCAGTACATAAGACTACTATAAAACATCACAAAGCAGAGGGAAGAAAAGTCAGCAGACGGTGGTGAGATGATGGAGTTAACAATTAGGAAAAAAAAATCTTTAGATTTTTCATTTACATACTTCATACTTCATTCACTCAGACTTTTTAACTTACTGTTTTGACTGTGTTGAGTCTTTGTTGCTCTGTGTAAGCTTTTGCCCTGTGGCATGTGGGATCTTGGTTCCCCAACCAGGGATCGAACCTTCATCCCCTGCATTGGAATGTGGGTTCTTAACCACTGGACCACCATGGAAGTCCCCATTTTCTTATATTTTAAAGTTATATCTAAATATATTTATATTTTTTAAAGTTATATTTAAAGACAGGTGAATATTGGATTTTGGGGAGAAGAGCTTGCAAACTCTTTGGAAAAAAAGTAATAATGTGTTTTCAGTGCAGTTAGAGTACAGAGAGCTTCCAGATGCCCCTCACTTACTGTCTCCCTACTTACCCCCCGTCCTCTTCCCCCAAATCAGTTTCCTCTATTATTAATGTTGTGTATTCATGAGCCGACGTTGGTTGATACACTGTTATTAGCTAAAGTCCATCCTTTACATGAGGGATCCCTCTTTGGGTGAGTTTCTCTTTCTGTGGGTTTGACAAATGTATGGTATCTCCACCTCTACAGTATCCCATGGAAAGGTTTCACTGCTTAAAAAATCCTCTTGAGTTGCTCTAATCCCTTCCTCCCTAGTCCTCGGCAGTGGCTGTTTTCTGTTGTGATTTTGTGATTTTTCTGGTTGTTTGTCTTTTACTGCCTCCATAGTTTTGCCTCTTTCAAAATGTCTATAGTTAGGCTCATGTACGTTTTTCAGATTGTCTTATTTCATTTAGCAATATGCGCTTGTTTCCTTCTTGTCTTTTAATGACTTGATAGCTCTTTTTCTTTTTTTTCTTTAAATTGCTGAATAAGCTCCACACCCCCCGCCCCGACCCACTCACCCTCTGTGATGGCCCACAACTCTGTTTGTGGTGCGTGTTTGCCTCTGAATATGAATAAATCCACTTCTTACCTAAAAAAAAAAAAAGAACAAAATTACTGAAAAAGATTCCATTGTACGAATATACCATGGTTTGTTTATCCATTTACCTATTAAAGGACATCTTTGTTTTTTTAATCAATCCTAACCTCTCGGGAAGCTTCTCTGAAATGTCAAATCTAGTCAGTGTCTGCCCAGACCTCAATTCCTATATTTATTTCAACCAAGCAATTTAGGCTCTAACTATACAGAGGTAACCCTTGGACAAGGTGGAGTCAGGTGCTCCGATGCTGCACACAGTAAAAGAATAATCATATAACTTTGCAGCTGTCTTTCTACAGCTGAGTTTCCACATCTGCAGACAACCAGCCGTGGGTTGTGTTATACTGTGGTACATATTTATTGGAGAAAATCCTCATAGAAGTGGACCCATGCACCGTTAAAACCCATGTTGTTTGAGGGTCAACTGTATTTTCACATTAGTCTCTAATTGTTTTACATGATTAAAAAGCGTCAATAGATTATGAACTTTTTAATAAAATTGAAGTATGGTTGACATACAATGTTTTAGGTGTCCTACCAGTGATTAGACGTTTGCATGCGTTATGAAACGGTCAGTGTGGTAAGTCTAGTAGGCATCTGTCCCCATAACAAGTTACTAAAATTGACCATATGCCTATGCTGGAAGTCATCCTTGTGGCTTATTTATTTTGTAACCGGAGGTTCATATCTCTTAGTCCCCTTCACCTATTTATCCCGCCCTATCCCCTTCCCCTCTGGCAACTAACTACCCATTTATTCTTACTATCTGTGAGCTTGTTTTTCTTTTCTTTTTCTTGTTTTTTAGATTCTACACATAAGTGATATCATGCATTATTTGTCTTTCTCTGTCTTATTTCACTCAGCATAATGCCCTCTAGATCCATCCATGTTGTTGCAAATGGCAAGATTTTTTTTTTTCAACTTAAGGCGCATCCATATCTTGGCTATTGTAAATAATGCTACAATGAATATTGGTATGCAAATAAATATCTTTTCAAATTAGTTTTTTACTTTTCTTGGGAAAGTATTCATAAGTGAAGTTGCTTGATCAGATGGCAGCTCTATTTTTAATTTTTTGAGGAAGCTCCAAACTGTTTTCCATAGTGGCTGTACCAATTTACATTCACACTAACAGTACATGAGGGTTTCCTTTTCTCTACATCCTCACCACCACTAGTTGTCCATTTGATGATAGCCATTCTGATAGGTGTGAGGTGAGATCTCATTGTAGTTTTGATTTTAGTTTCCCTGATGATTAGTGATGTTGAGTATCTTTTCATGTGTCTTTAGCCATCTGTATGTCTTCTTTGAAAAAAGGTCTATTTAGGTCCTCTGCCCATTTTTAAATCAAGGGTTTTTTTTTGCTGCCTAGGTGTTTTTTTTTTTTTCTTTTTTCTATCCATGCCTTGCAGCTTATGGGATCTTAGTTCCTTGACCAGGGATCAAACCAAGGCCCTTGGCAGTGAAAGCACAGTCCTAACCACTGGACCAGCATAAAGTTTCCTGATGTTGACTTTTATGAATTTTTTGTATATTTTGGATATATATTGGATATCCAATAAGAGTATTGGATATATCATTTGCAAATATCTTCTCCCATTCAGTAGTCTGCCTTTTTGTTCTGACAGTTTGCTTTGCTGTGAAAAAGCTTTTTAGTTTGATGTAGTTCCATTTATTTTCACTTTTGTTTCCTTTCCTGAGAAGACAGATCCTACCCCATCCCCCACCCCTGCCAATTGCTAAGACTGTTGTCAAAGAGTGCACTGCCTACATTTTCTTCTAGTAGTTTTATGGTTTCAGTACTTACATTTAAGTCCTTAGTCTATTTTGAGTTTATTTTTGTATATAGTTTATTTCTGGACCCTCTCTTCTGATCCATTGATTTATGTGTTTGCTTTTGTGTCAGTACCTAGCTGTTTTGATTACTATAGCTTTGTAGTATAGTTGAAACCAGTAAGTGGGATACTTCCAGATTTGTTCTTTTTTATCAAGATTGACCTGGCTATTTGGGATCTGTTGAGTTTCCATGCAAATTTTAGAATTATTTGTTCTGAAGTGAAGTGAAGTGAAGTTGCTCAGTTGTGTCCGACTCTTTGCAAACCCGTGGATTGTAGTCTACCAGGCTCCTCCCTCCATGGGATTCTCCAGGCAAGAATACTGGAGTGGGTTGCCATTTCCTTCTCCAGGGGATCTTCCCAACCCAGGGATCGAACCCCGGTCTCCCGCATTGGAGGCAGACGCTTTACCCCCTGAGCCACCAGGGAAGCCCAAAGTTTTGAATAAAGCTGCTGCAAACATTCATTCATGCAAGTATTGTGTGGACATAAGTTTCCAAAGTCATTTGGGGAAATACCAAAGACTGTTTATTGAATCATATGGTAAGAATGTGGTTAGTTTTGTAAAAAACTGCCCAACTGCCTTCAGCAGTGTCTGTGCTGTTTGCGTTTCCATTAGTAACGAGCGGGAGAGTTCCTGTTGCCCTACATCCTCATCGACATTGGTGTTGTTGGTGTTTTGGATTTCACTCATTCTAGGAGCTGTGTAGGGGTGTTTCATTGTTGTGTTAAGTTGTAATTCCTTAAGTGCTTATCTCATATCTTTATCTGTCACTTGTATGACCTCTCCTGTGAGGTGTCTGATCAGGCCTTTTGCCCATTTTTAAATTGTGTTGTTTGTTTTCTTATTGTTGAGGTTTAAGATTTCTTCATATATTTTGGAAATAATCCTTCTTCAGGTAACTGTCTTGCAAATATTTTCTTTCAGTCTGTGGCCTGTCTTTAATCTTTTATTTTTTTTTAACTTACAAACTTTTAAGTCATAAAAATAAATTAAAAAAAGAAAAGACACACTAGATTACACCACATTTAAAGTTTCTTTATGCAAGTAACCAAGATAAAATGACACACACACAGTAGCAAAATTACTGCAAAGCTGACAAATGGTTAATGTGTTTATTATACAAAAAGTTCATGTAATGTATACTCAGAAGACTTTATTACCATAAAAAAATGATAAAAAGTTATACAACTAATAAATTTATGGAAAACTGTTTACTCTTGCCTGTAATAAAATAAATACAAATGAAAATGATAATAAAGTACTCTCACTTTAGGAGCTTATCAAAGTAGCCAAAAATTTCCAGTGCTGATAACTAATAGTGTGCTGAAAGCTGTTCATACATTGCTGAGAGATGTCTAAATTGGTAAGTTCAGTTCAGTTGCTCAGTCATGTCCAACTCTTTGCGACCCATGGACTGCAGCACACCAGGCCTCCCTGTCCATCACCAACTCCCAGAGCTTACTCAAACTCATGTCCTTTGAGTCGCTGATGCCATCCAACCATCTCATACTCTGTCATCCCCTTCTTCTCCCGCCTTCAATCCCTCCCAGCATCAGGGTCTTTTGCAATGAGTCAACTCTTCGCATGAGGTAGCCAAAGTATTGGAGTTTCAGCTTCAGCATCAGTCCTTCCAATGAACACCCAGGACTGATCTCCTTTAGGATGGACTGGTTGGATCTCCTTGCAGTCCAAGGGACTCTCAAGAGTCTTCTCCAACACCACAGTTCAAAAGCATCAGTTCTTCTGCACTCAGCTTTCTTTATTGTCCAACTCTCACATCCATACATGACCACTGGAAAAACCATAACCTTGACCAGATGGATCATTGTTGGCAAAGTAATGTCTCTGCTTTTTAATATGCTGTCTAGGTTGGTCATAACTTTCCTTCCAAGGAGTAAGCGTCTTAATTTCATGGCTGCAATCACCATCTGCGGTGATTTTGGAGCCCCCAAAAATAACGTCTGACACTGTTTCCACTGTCTTCCCATCTATTTCCCATGAAGTGATGGGACCAGATGCCTAGGCAACTTTTAAAGAAACAGGAAAGTCTGACTCATACACAAGATAAAAAATAGGCAACAGAAACTGCCTGCGAGAGGGAAGGATGTCAGACTTAACAAAGCCTTCAAAGGTTTCACTGTAAATATATTCAAAGAGCCATAGGAAGCCACACTTACAACAGTGAAAGGGGATATGATGACAGTGCCTACAGATCCACAGAATTCCAAAGGAAATTACAGAAAGAATCTAATGGAATAAGTGAAGCTTTAAGTAAAACAACTAGAAAACTCACTGCCGAGGACAAAGAGTAGATTTGAACTGGATAAAGAAAGAATTAGTGAACTTGAAAATAGGTCAAAAGAGATTGTGAAATCCAAAGAATAGGAAAAAAAAAAATGAAGAAAATGAACAGCACCTCAAGAGAAATCTGGAGGGGTTATAATAATATCAGACAATAGATTTAAAACAAAAAATATAACTAAAGATGGACATATTGTAATGAAAGAAGGGCCCATCCATCAAGAAGACAGAACAACTACTATATATAGATTTATATATCTAACAACAGAGTCCCAGAATATAGGAAGCAAAAATTGACAAAAGTAAAGTGAGAGCTAGACAATTTGACCATAATCGTTGGAGACTTTAATACTTCACTTTAAATAATAGAACAACTAGGCAGAAGATTAACAGGAAATAGAGTTGAACAATATAAACCAGTGAATCCTGACAGACATCTACAGAACGCTGTGCTCAGCAGTAGCAGAATATAAATTTTTCTCATGTGCACAAGGAGCATCCTCCAGATAGACAACGTGCTGGACGATGAGCCTCAACAGCTCTGAAAAGACTGAGATTAGTTAGTGTTCTCTAACCACAATGAAACGGAATTATAAATCAATAACTGAAAGAAACTTTGGAAATTAACAGATAGGTGGAATTAATATACTCCTTAATAATCAATGAATCAGAGAGAAATCACAAGAAAAATTAGAAAATACGAGATGAATAAAATTGAAGGCACAATATAATAAAGTTTATGGGATACAGCTAAAACAGTACTTTGAAGGACATTTACAGTTATCAACACCAATCTTATAAAAGAAGAATAATCTGAAATCAATAACTTAAACTTCCAAAGACATTTAAAGGGGAAAGATGAGCAAAAGCTAAAGCAAACAAGAGAAACAAATATAGAGTGAAAATTAAATAGAGAACAGAAAAATGATGGAGAAAAATACACAGACTAAAAGTTGGTTTCTTGGAAAGATCAACAAAATTGACAAACTTACTGAAACTGATGAAAAAAGGAGAGCAGACTGAAATGACTAAAATTAAGAATAAGAATAAGGGGACATTATTACTGACATAATATAAATCAGCAGATGCAGAAAGAAACATTTGAGAAAAATACAACACATTTTCTTTATAAAAACAATCAACAAATTAGGAGTAGAAGGAAATTTCCCCAGTCTAATAAAGGACCTCAATGAAAAACTCATGAATAACATAATACTTACTGGTGAAAGAGTAAATGATTTTCCCCTAGAATAAGCAAAGAGAAAAGGATGTCTGCTCTCATAGCTCTTATGGTACTCGAGTTTCTTTCCAGCGATTTTAGCAGTGAGGGTGACAAGCGCTGATGGAGGTGAGGGTTGGGGTGGGGAGAATGAATCCATATTTTAAAAAAGGAAATCAAGCCATCTCTCTTCACAGGTAATATGACCCTGTATTCTGAAGAAATCCACCCAAAACTGTTAGAATGATAGAATTCAGTAAGTTAATAAGATATAGGATATACAAAATCAATTTACTTCTACCATTGAATCACACACTTTAAATGAGTGAAATGTATGGTTTATGGATATCTCAATAAAGTTGTTAAAAATCAATATGTTAATGTATACTGCAATGACTAATCCAAAAGTGCAGTTAAGAAAACAAATTAAGGTCACATCAAAAAAAAAAATACATAGGAATAAATTTAACAAAGAAGTGCAGAATTTATTTATTTATTTTTTATTTATTTATTTTTGACTTTTATTTTTATTTTTATTTTTTTTCCATTTATTTTTATTAGTTGGAGGCTAATTACTTTACATCATTGCAGTGGTTTTTGTCATACATTGAAATGAATTAGCCATGGATTTACATGTATTCCCCATCCCGGTCCCCCCTCCCACCTCCCTCTCCACCCGATCCCTCTGGGTCTTCCCAGTGCACCAGGCCCGAGCACTTGTCTCATGCACCCAACCTGGGCTGGTGACCTGTTTCACCCAAGATAATATACATGTTTCGATGCTGTTCTCTTGAAACACCCCACCCTCGCCTTCTCCCAGAGTCCACAAGTCTGTTCTATACATCTGAGTCTCTTTTTCTGTTTTGCATATAGGGTTATCGTTACCATCTTTCTAAATTCCATATATATGTGTTAGTATACTGTAATGGTCTTTATCTTTCTGGCTTACTTCGCTCTGTATAATGGGCTCCAGTTTCATCCATCTCATTAGAACTGATTCAAATGAATTCTTTTTGATGGCTGAGTAATATTCCATGGTGTATATGTACCACAGCTTCCTCATCCATTCGTCTGCTGATGGGCATCTAGGTTGCTTCCATGTCCTGGCTATTATAAACAGTGCTGTGATGAACATTGGGGTGCACGTGACTCTTTCAGATCTGGTTTCCTCGGTGTGTATGCCCAGAAGTGGGATTGCTGGGTCATATGGCAGTTCTATTTCCAGCTTTTTAAGAAATCTCCACACTGTTTTCCATAGTGGCTGTACTAATTTGCATTCCCACCAACAGTGTAAGAGGGTTCCCTTTTCTCCACACCCTCTCCAGCATTTATTGCTTGTAGACTTTTGGATAGCAGCCATCCTGACTGGTGTGTAATGGTACCTCATTGTGGTTTTGATTTGCATTTCTCTGATAATGAGTGATGTTGAGCATCTTTTCATGTGTTTGTTAGCCATCTGTATGTCTTCCTTGGAGAAATGTCTGTTTAGTTCTTTGGCCCATTTTTTGATTGGGTCATTTATTTTTCTGGAGTTGAGCTGGAGGAGTTGCTTGTATATTTTTGAGATTAATCCTTTGTCTGTTGCTTCGTTTGCTATTATTTTCTCCCAATCTGAGGGCTGTCTTTTTACCTTGCTTATAGTTTCCTTTGTTGTGCAAAAGCTTTTAAGTTTCATTAGGTCCCATTTGTTTATTTTTGCTTTTATTTCTAAAATTCTGGGATGTGGGTCATAGAGGATCCTGCTGTGATTTATGTTGGAGAGTGTTTTGCCTATGTTCTCCTCTAGGAGTTTTATAGTTTCTGGTCTTACATTTAGATCTTTAATCCATTTTGAGTTTATTTTTGTGTATGGTGTTATAAAGTGTTCTAGTTTCATTCTTTTACAGGTGGTTGACCAGTTTTCCCAGCACCACTTGTTAAAGAGGTTGTCTTTTTCCATTGTATATCCTTGCCTCCTTTGTCGAAGATAAGGTGACCATAGGTTCGTGGATTTATCTCTGGGCTTTCTATTCTGTTCCATTGATCTATATTTCTGTCTTTGTGCCAGTACCATACTGTCTTGATGACAGTGGCTTTGTAGTATAGTCTGAAGTCAGGCAGGTTGATTCCTCCAGTTCCATTCTTCTTTCTCAGGATTACTTTGGCTATTCGAGCTTTTTTGTATTTCCATACAAATTGTGAAATTATTTGTTCTAGTTCTGTGAAAAATACCATTGGTAGTTTGATAGGGATTGCACTGAATCTATAGATTGCTTTGGGTAGTATAGCCATTTTGACAATATTGATTCTTCCAATCCATGCACACGGTATATGTCTCCATCTGTTTGTGTCCTCTTTGATTTCTTTCATCAGTGTTTTATAGTTTTCTATGTATAGGTCTTTTGTTTCTTTAGGTAGATATATTCCTAAGTATTTTATTCTTTTTGTTGCAATGGTGAATGGTATTGTTTCCTTAATTTCTCTTTCTGTTTTATCATTGTTAGTGTATAGGAATGCAAGAGATTTTTGTGTGTTAATTTTATCTCCTGCAACTTTACTGTATTCGTTGATTAGCTCTAGTAATTTTCTGTTAGAGTCTTTAGGGTTTTCTATGTAGAGGATCATGTCATCTGCAAACAGAGAGAGTTTCACTTCTTCTTTTCCTATCTGGATTCCTTTTACTTCTTTTTCTGCCCTGATTGCTGTGGCCAAAACTTCCAAAACTATGTTGAATAGTAGTGGTGAGGGTGGGCACCCTTGTCTTGTTCCTGATTTTAGGGGAAATGCTTTCAATTTTTCAGAAGTGCAGAATTTAATCTGAAAATGACAACATGTTGTTTAACAAAATAAAAGATCTACATTCACTGAAAGATGTACCCTGGTCGTGGGTAAGAAGTTTTACTATTTTTAAAAGAACAATACTCTCCAATTAGAGTCTACAGATTTAACTCAATCCTTATCATAATTCAAACTGGCTTATTGGCAGAAATGGAGAAGCGAAAATTCATATGGAAATTCAAGAGACCAAGAATAGCCAAAACAATCTAGAAAAAAAAAAGTTGACAGACTCACACTTACTAATTTCAAAACTTAGTACAAAGCTACAGCAATCAAAACAGTGTGGAAACTGGCACAAGAATAGGCATATACATCAACGAAATAGAATGGAGAGTTCAAAAATAAACCTATATATTTATGGCCAATTGATTTTTGATGAGTGCCAAGAGTATTTAATAGAGAACAATCTCTTCAAAACGTGGTGCTGAGACAATTGGATATCCACATACAAAAGAGTGAAGTCGGATCTCTACCTCACACTATATACAAAATAAGCCAAAAATGAATCAGAGATCCAAATCTAATAGCTAAAACCTAAAAGCTGTTAGAAGAAAACATGGAAGTAAATCTTCATGACTGACAAGCCTCAGAATGGGAGAAAATATTTGCCAATGAAGCAACCGACAAG